TATTATTTTTTAGAGATCAAGTACAAACCTGACACACGACCACCTGTAATCACTCTCAGGATGGGCTACAGTGGCTGCAGCACAGCCTGTTCAACAGCAGTGCAGAGGGGGCAGATGGCACACTCGTGCTGACAGCACACTCGTGTGCAGCCTCCAGAGGGTTTCCTGTCCTAGATTGCAGTTTCCCAGCTCCCCAGCCCCTGCCTTCCCAGGCTGGCTGGCCACTGCACACACGTGGCCCGCTTCCCAAAAGCTGCAGTCCTGCCTGAGGTGGCTGCTGAGTAAATGCCCCCTTAAAGCTGTATCTGCTGAAGGAGTAAGTGCTATAAAAAGGAATGGGAGAGTGCTGGGACCCCAGGACCCCCCAGCACTGTCTGGGTGCTGCCTTCCTCTGCTGCATGAGCAGTGCACTCTGCTGTCCACAGCCCACACTGCAGAGCCCAGCAGTTTTCCAGGAGAACACACTCCCTCTTTTTAACAACACCACCAAACTCATAAGTTTAGGTTAGCTTTCTGTTAATCTGAAAAGCAGAAATTTGTAGACTGGGACGAAGGGAAAATAATAATGACTAAATTCTAGCTCTTGTCAGCACTCTCAGGCCACACAGGTGAGCATCAGGTTTGGTGTGGTGTCACCAAGGTTCACTTGTTTTGCAGCCTTGCACTGTATATTCAGATAAACTTGTTTGCAGTAAGTGGGATATCCCAGATCCTCCCCTTTTGCCCTGGAAAAGTAGGAAGGGGTCCAGCAGCATTCCATACCCTTCACGCACCACCTGGCAGATGAGGAGACTTTTCCACGTACATTGGAAGGGAGATGGAAAAGGGGAGACAGACTTGCATTCCCATTTCGACTGGGATTTCAGGCTTCCACCTTCCCAGACAAGCCAGAGCACTTCCACATCCTTGGTCTCTTTCCCCTACTTTGGTTGCTGTTCATGGTATAGATGATGAATTTCACACAGAATCTCACAGTATGTCAGGGTTAGGCATTCTCTGTTTACCTTTGAGGGTGTCTGTCCCAAGGTATGATTCAGCCACACGATTGCACAACTGTACCTGGGATTATTCCTACCTCTCAGGTGTTACAGATGGAATTTCAGCACCTAACTCCTGTCCTAGATTGCAGTTTTCAGGCCTATAGGCTTAAATGGCTCCTTGGATTAGCTTTCAGCTACCACCCTGGTCATACCAGAGTTGAACAAGCCTTTGTTATTCAGCCAATGTGGGGAAAAGAGAAAGATATTTTTAATGTACAGACAGAGGCACACCAGAGTCCCCATCCTGGGGAGCCCCCAGTCCCCACTCATCAACCTTTTCCATAGCAACAGAAGTTAGGTTGAAACCTACTGTTGTGAGGCCTGGACACAGCAGGACCAGCTGTTCCTTGCTGGGAGACAAGAATATCCTTCAGGCCCACTTCACATCCTCCTTGTACAACACAAACACAAGTGATACAAGAACTGATCACAGTGAGCTGTAGGAAGCAATGCTCTGGACTGCATCCAATCCCTCCCTGCTCATGCACTAAAGGGATCCCACAAGGAGAATCCTGGAAATCACCTTAGGAAACAGTGTTCAGCTCAAATGGTCACAACATGCTGGAAGTGGGGCCTCCAACTTGACCAGATCTCTCAGCAAACTTTTTTCATAAAAAACAACCAGACCTTCCATTCTGCATGAAAGCCACTGGCTGGGGTCAAATCTGTTTCCCTGATCCAGCCCCTGCCTCTGTTAAAAGCATGAGGCAGGTTGCAGGAGATGGGTTCGGGAATCAAGAGACAACTCAGTATGAGTTAGCAACTTGTTCCATTTTATCACAGTTTCAGCTACATTTTTATAGTATTTTGGAAAGGTAACATGCAATATTTTATTACAATTGGATAATTGCTGTTTTTCATGAGTTAACTTCTACATTTCTATTGGTCCAGCTCATAACACCCGAGCTCTATAAGATACTTTTTAGTGGAACTTATAAGATACATTAAGCAGTTATATAAGATACATTCTGCAGAATTCACATCCTGACAAACTTCACAAGATACATTTTTCAGATTTCTCATCCTAAATTCTCATATATTCTTCATTGTCTTTTTAACACTTAGTCTTCTTCATATATTTGATACAATATTGTGCCAAGGACTCATGCTGACTCAAAGTCAGGGTTGTGCAGGCCTTCCAAGGAGCTGTGGCCTCGAGAAGCAAGCCATTCTTCAACAGCAGGTGAACAGTCATCTGCTGACATAAAAGAATATTGGATATTATCTTTCTATTAGCAATCTTACTGTTTTTGCTTTTCTGAATCCCTCCCCTCCTGACAGGCAACAGAGAGCATGACCGGCATAGCTGAGCTTGCCTGAGACAGAGGAGTTCAATCCCACAAAATTGGAATAGTGCACCTTTCACTCCTGTCACTTTTTAACAAGGTTACCTACTAGGCACAGTGCAGCCCTCACTTGTAACAGCCCTAGAGATTCAGGCTTTTCATGCAGACTAAACCTCCACTGCTCACTCAGAAGGCAGGCAGGTGGAAGGGGGACATATTCTGGCTACTTGACAACCCAACCCTTTGGCCTCAATGTGCCACAGCTTCCCATTTGGAAAGGCTCTCCTTGTTCCCCATGCTGCACTCACACTAAATGTGCATAAAACCCTTCTCACACTGCTTGGTGCCCTGCTAACCTTGGCATTCTGTCAGCTTTTCCCACCTTCCTGGAAAAGCAAGGGAAAGGCCTTGCCACATGGATAGTTGTGTGACAACTCCTCCTCCCATGTTTCAGCAGGACAAATGGAGTCCTAAGGAAAAGCACAGGGTGATGATGTTACTCTTTGCCTTGTTCTGTAAGGCAGTGATGTTATTCTTTGACATTCTCTAACACATTATGGAATTTTTCGTAAGTTTAGAGGTAAATCATCAGGTGAGAACAGTTACTCATTGCCAAATTAACCCTGGCTACAGGGAACAAGCCAAACAGAGGGTCTGCCAGTGACAGCTGTGGAAGGAAAGTCAAGGCTTGGGACAGTAGGTTTATAGGTAGGAAACCTTGGGAAAGCAGCTGAGAATTATTCACGTCTGAAGTATTTCTGGCCAGAGTAAAGAGAGTCACAGTGCATTAGCAGCAACCATCTGTTTGACTTACTGGTGCAAGCCCATGACTTTGACAAGGGCAGTGGAATGGGCAGGACTGACCCAGGAGCAACACAGAGGTGTGGAATTCTCATGCAGAGACAACCCCTAAAGCCCAGTGAAGGTAAAAAGCTACAGGACCTCACCTTGAAAAGCATCCAAAGCACGCAACCCTGCTCCTTTCACAGCCTGAGAGGTTGCCTGAATTTCACAAAACATTACATAAAAGAATCTTACTCTCCATTAGGCTTTTAATTCTTACACTTTTATAACAGGAAACTTTGCAGGACAAGGGGAGTTACTAAATACATCCTCCTCTTCAAGTTTTGGGTTTTTTTTTTATATACTGAGCATTATGGCCTATGGTGTGGACTATCCCCTTGGTCAGTTTGGGTCACCTGTCGCAGCTGTGTCTCCTCCCACCCTCCCAGGCATCCCCAGCTTCCTCCTCAGCCTGGCAGTACAAAAATCAGAAAAGGCCTTGGCTCTGTGCAAGCCCTGCTCAGCAAAAACAAAATCATTTCCATATTATCAACCCTGTGTTCAGCACAAATCCAAAACACAGCCCCATACCAGTCACTGTGAAGAAAACTAACTCTACCCCAGCTGAAGCCAGCAGGGCTATTTAATAATTTCAGCCTGAAAACCTGAAAGCCAGAGAACTAAATGACTCGTGTGCATGTGAAAGGGGAAAATGTGAAAACCCTACTGGCCAAAATTATCTTGAAAGAATTCCAGATTATGCTGAAATGCATGATGACAGTTCATCCTTTCACAGGAGAGACAAGGAAATACTGTGGAGAACTGGCAACTGCTCACAGCCCTGTGCAGTATTTCTGTGCCAACAACTGCATGAGAAGTAATTAAGCAACATTCACAAAACAACACAAGCTGGAATCTCTAGCATCTTTGTTTTCTAAAATACTTACTCACTGTTAATATTTTGATCTGTATCCTGTCATTTTAAATGTTCTGTGCAGAATCACATCTGCGATCTTGCAGTAAAACTTCGTAAGTCACATTCAACTGTTCATTACTGCTTTTTTAATTGTCTCAGCATGATCAGTCAGGAACATGTTTAGTTTTAGCTCTCCTTCTCACCATCAGTAGAGTTGGTAGGATTTCTCATTTTAAGACTGAGGTGGCATGAAGCATGTCAAGTCATTGAATTATCTGTGTTGTTTTAGAGACAGAATACCAAGATATGTGGTAGCAAAGCATGTGCTTAATATGTCTAGTCCAAAATTAAGACTTCTGAAGGGGGAAAATGGTCATTGCCTATTTCTCAAACTGTGAATGGTCACAGACTGGTATTATGTATCATGTTTCTGTAATTTCAAATGGCTACAGTCAAGTGTCAAGAGCACGAGCAATAAATGCAGCATTTTCTCAGCCCTTTTCCAAATCTGCTCACTGTGGATGTTGCAGTTTCATCCCCACCGAAAGTAATCTTGGTGAGGCTGCTGGGAAAGATATCCAGAGGCCCCAGTCTGATCTCATGACTCACCCAAACAGCCTCACTCTCTTCAGTGAGTCTCGTGCTTGTGCAGACTCTGGGATCATTCATGGAGGAACTCACCGTAAGCAGAAATGTCACTGGCATAATTTTATTTAAAAGACAAAATCCTAACGCTCATCTGAGCAATCAGTATTTTTTTCATTAGAACTTGTGTTGCTATAAACTTGCTGACAATTTACAGACTTCAGTAATGGTCCCTCCTACCATGTGAGAAATTATGCTGCCTGGGACTTCACAGGAAGCTCCATCAGACAGATTTCACACTGTATCTTTCAGGAAATTGATCTCTAATAAGAGAAAGCCACAATTCCTCCTGTGAATATTTTCTACAGTAAACTCTGCAGACAATCATAAGATAAAAAGTACATTTTCACTTTTATTGTCAATTAATCTGGCCAATATATTCATTATAGAATTACAAAGTATTTCTGTACAAAATCTGTAGATGTGTCTCACAGAGATCAACATTACACATTCCCTCAAGAACAAAACCCCCAAATCCAGTTTCTTTTGCAATCATAACCAATTTTTAACTTATTTATCTAAGAATGAAGTGCTTCCGCAGGTCATAACAGATGTAAATGATCTTGGGTTTTATCCATCGATGACAAAAATCATGTTTATGGGAATCACATCACTGAATTTTCAATAACCCCGCTTCTGTTTTTCTTCTTTATCAAGAATAGCCTGTTTTAGACTCAATGCAGCATCTTCAAACTGGGGGTTTAACTCTAATACTTTCCTGAAATCTTTTATGGCCTCATCAAAGTCTCCTGTCACAAAAAAGAAAAAAAGGAAAAGTAAAATTATCTTTAAGTGTTCATGCTCACAAACCTCTCACAACTCAAAAACACCTCCTAATACACCCACAAAGCAGCAGCTACTTCCTGGATCCACTACATTTGAATTCTCCACGGGCTCAACTGGGAGTCAAAGGGTTTCACAGCAAGAATCTCCAATGGACTTTATGCTCAGTTCAGCCAGTTTATTCCCAAGAGAAGGAGACAAAAGGCCCACACCAATAATGAGGCTGCCCTAAAGCTGGCACACAGGCACAGAGCTTCCAGCTAGTGCCCACGGCCCGGCTCCATTCTCTAGTCCCCCGACCTCTGACATGGCCAAGCTCTAACAAAAGGCACAGCGCTGTCATTTTGTTACGGCACCATCAAAAACGGGACAGGAAATTCCCCAGAGGTGGCCAGTAGCCCACTGTAAGTTGTGAAGGCTGCGCTCACCGCAGCTAAAGCTGCTCGGGAGATGCTGTATCTCAGATTTAATGGTAGTGTTTGGAACTGGCTTGTTTTACCCCAGCGCAAATTCTTCCGCAAGTACACCCTTGCTCCTGTTTTCCACAGAACAGCATCCTTTCGAACGGCTCGGCTAGGAACAGAGGGGTATAAGAAGGCACAGGCGGGGCAGGCAGCAGCTAAAGCTGCTGTCACTGCTGAGAACGTGTCGCGCCCGTGGCGGAGCCATGTCCCTCGTCCCGCCCGTCACCCGGCGCTGCCCGGGCGGCGCTGCCCCGGCCCGGCCCGTACCCAGCCGGTAGCGCACCAGCCCGCGGTTGTAGTAGGGCACCTCGAAGGCGGGCTGGCACTCGATGGCGGCCGTGAAGTCCTGCACGGCGGCGGCGAACTCCACGCTCAGGTACCGCGCCTGCCCGCGATCGTTGAGCGCCGCGGCGAGGTCGCAGCGGGCACTGCGGGGACAGAGGGAGCGGCGTTAGCGGGGGCCCGCCCGGCGCGCCCGCCCCGCTGCCCGGCCCCGGCGTTACCCCGCGGGGCTGCGGGCGATGAAGCGGCTGAAGAGCTCCTCGGCCGCCGAGAGCCGCCGCGCCCTCAGCTCCGCCCGCGCCGCCGCCAGCAGCTCCGCCGCCTCCCCCGCCATCGCGCTGACGTCACGCGGGGCGGGCGCGCCGTGACGTCAGGGGCACCCCGGCGCGCGCCGCGAAGGCGCGGCCACGTGAGAGAGGGCGCGGGGAAACAGAGCTGATCACACGGCAGGGCGCGAACTCGATACTGAAATACCGAAATACCGAAATACCGGGATACTGAAATACCGCCGTAGCCTCTGTAATAACCAGCTGCTCCATTCTCGTGAGACCCGCAGCTGCAGCACAGCGCCCAGATATGGGGCTGCAGCACAGGCACAACATGGAGCTGGTGCAGCGAGGCCAGAGGACACCAAGATGATCAGAGCTGGAGCACCTCCCCTCGGGACATAGGCTGGGAGAGTTGGGGTTCAGCCCGGAGAGGACGTTGTGGAGACCTGAGAGCACCTTCTAGTACCGAAAGGGGCTCTAAGAGAGCTGGAGAGGAAATGTTTACAAGGGCATAAAGGGATAGGACAAGGGAGAATGGCTTTAAGCTAAAGGAGGGAAGGGTTAGGTTAAATATAAGGAAGAAATTATTTACTGTGAGGGTGATGAGGCTCAGGCATAGGTTGCCCATAGAAGCTGTGGGTGCTCCATCCCTGGAAATACTCAAGAACAGGGTGGATGGGCTTTGTGCTACCTGGTGAAGTGGAAGGTGTTGCAGCCCTTATCAGAGGGCTTAAAACAAGATGTTCTTTAAGGTCCCTTCCAACCCAGGCCGTTGTATACTCTGTGATTCTGTGGAGATGGGGTTAATCCTTACTGGCCTAAAATAAGGGAGGGTGCTTAGGTGAGAGCACAGAAGACGACCTACACTCTGCTGTCCTCTCAGAAATGTGCTAGGGCACAATGTGAACGTCACAGCTCACGGCTCTTGTCAGGCAGCCAAGTGCTGGCTGGTCCTGGGGACAGCTCGTCCCCTGCATCAAAGCCCTGCAGCACTGCCAGAGCACAGGCCCAAACCAGCAGTAAGGCAGGACAGCGAGACATCACTCCTTGGACATTTGTGTGTAACAAAGGTGACACTTCAGCTCCTGAACTCTGTTCCAACAGATGCAGGCTGCTCTCAAGCTACATGAAAAAAATGCCAGGTTCCAGGTTGCAAGTTCATGGAGGTTTCCTTAACCTGTTGAAGATGACATCACCCAAGCTCAACAACCCGACTGACACACTGACTGCTGTGTGTTTTCAAGCCCTTTATTGCTGCAGTGGGTTTAGCTACACTTGGCAAAAGAAACCAGCACTAACATATGCTTTTAATGGTGTCATCACTCCAGTAGTACAAAAACATCTATGGTAATATTATCAAAATTACTGTGACATTACTTCAACTCAGGAATTGCTTCCTTCAAAAAACTCTGAATTCTGAGAAAACTCAGTAATTTCCTGTGGAATTAGACAAAAAAACGGAGCCTACTCAGAGTAGAACATGTTGATATGAGCCTACATTCAAGTCACATGGTTTTGAAACTGGGCTCAATCTGTAATAAGAATGCTTTGACCTTAAATCTTTTTTTAAAAGTGTAGCAAAAAATGGAATCTATTTACATGGTAATTTCTTCAGATAAATGGAAGCAGTAAAGGTTTTTCTTGTGGGTTTTCTCTTTTGGGAGTTTTTGTAATGTTTCTCTACCAGCAGCACTAATTGCTACAATAGAGTACCTGAGTTGTATTTCAAAAGAAAACAACATTTTAGAGGCCGTTTTTAGCAGTCATAAATGCAGATACAGAGTTTATCCTCAGCTTACTGTGCTGTGGCACAGAGGACAGGCATTATAATGGCCTGCTTCTTTGGCTTTCATACAATGCTTACACACACTGCACATCCAGAATCGATACTCCAGGATAGGGGCTCCGGTTGCAACACATACAGGAGGTTTACCATCTTCACTATAAAAAAAGAAAAAAAGAGTAAAGCTGAAATAATAAAAATGTGGTGTGCCAGTTGCTGATTAGAAGTTATTAGCTCATTTAACACTTCATTGTTCATGTAACCAAGTATAAAAATCTTCACACCAGAGAATACCCACCCCCAGAATCATCAAGTCAACAAATCAGGAGAAGCAGAACCAAAAGATGGGGTGAAAAGAAGCAGTGGAGGCCATATAAAGGTAAGGCCTGATTAGACACCTGCACTGCTATTACACTCCTTCCTCTGAAGCCTGAAGGGTCAACTTGACAGCTGCTACTGAGATTCCATACAGCTGCACAGTAGGATCAATCAAGACAGGTTAAAATCCTGTTTGCTAAAAGAAAACTGATTCATAATTGATTTCCATATTTACAAGTTCCATGCTCTTAGCAGGAAGCATGTCAAACACACATATGGATACAGCCACTCCAAGGACTTACCCCTTAAATGTGCCATTCATAGTAATTTTAACTTCACACCAAATAGATTTTAAGTAATTCACAGAACACTGGAGACCTGTTAGTTAATAAAGGTTGAACAGTCCCTTGTCGATACTTTCATCACCCCACCATGGTGATGCAAACAGTAACATTCCTACTCTATTGTCACATGACACCATCTCAAAGGTCCTAAAACTCCTGTGCTTTGTCTACCTACATTTCAAATTAAGATGAAGTTACATCTTTATGCCCAATTCCTTGAAAGGAGTCAGTGTCTCTTTTCCCAAACAACACAGTGCTGTATTACCTTCCTCCAAACTGGCTAACTCCTGCCTCATTCTTGCCCAATATTTGGTTTAAGCAGCAAAGAAATTAATTAGTTTGGTCACACACAAATTCTGCTAAAACCCAAAATGCAACCAACAGCAGAAAAAAGTTATAGTATTCTTATAATATCATATAAAAATAAACCCACCTCTCAAGAACGTCATCCAGATCAGATTTTTTGTTATGCTTTGGTCTGTATCTTGTGAATATCTCTAGAGCAAGGTCTTCATACTGTTGCCTCTGCTCTGGCTTAAGAGTTTCTAAGGATTCTAATTTAACAAAGGCTTTTGAACACGTATCAAATGCTCTGTTTGCACATGCACAGAGTGCCAAAAGGGAATATATTTCAACTGCAGGGATAATATCTTCATAATCTCGCAAATGAAGAGCTAAAAAAAAAGAAAAAAAGAAATCCAAGGAACTATTACACATCTTCTGAGAAGTGCAAACATCTGTATGGAATAGTTGCTACTAGACAACAGTATGAATTCTAAAAATTGGACAAAATGGACCACAGTCTTTTTATTGACTTGACTATGAAGCATTGCTCTAAAAAAAAACTAGGAGATTTCACTTGGAAATTGGTGTCTTAAAACACTTTATTTTAGTTGGTTGGTTTTAAAAATATTAGAAGGATTTGAAATCTTCATTAGTTGGACAAAGTACAAGGAGCTATTTGTTTCTTTAATTCCCACAGATTTTTTTGTGAAGCTCTATAAGGAGGTGTGATGTAAATTCAGGTAGGCCTTTTAATTTAGGGAGAGAAACAAAACAGTCAGCAGAACATCTGCAGACATTGACCAATTTACCAGGTAATATTTTGAAAGATTTGTATTTTCTTTCACAAAGTCCTTTCCAGGTATTGTGACTGCAGCCATGTTCAATTCATTACATGGTTTTGGTTTAAATTCCGTGGACTTATTAAGAACTGAAAAATATGGCAGCTATAAATTAAGTTATGTGCTGTCTTTACAGGGTTGAAAATTAATTCTTACCTGTTTTCAGTGCTGCATCTACAGAACCTTTATAGAGCTGTTTTTGTGCAAGTATGAAAAAGTGGTAAGCCTCAGCTCCTCGCCAGGCATTGTCTGCAAAGCGATTCGTTGAAGAAAGAACATCTTCTTCCAGCAAACCAGCCAAAGCTGAAGCACTCTGAAAACAAACCAGTATCACAAGTAATTTTTATATGAAACAGATACAGCAGAAAATAGGGATATATGAAAAGAGCTTTTCCGTACTCCATGATTACACCACTGTCCGTGTTAAGTGGGAAGAATACAAACGGACCTACAGTGAGCATTGTCAGGCGTTCTGTACAGAGCACAGGCACAACATATGGTACAGATTTTCAAAGATAAATATATATGTGTGTATACAAATATATTTTGTGCACATGCAGACTGGTTCATAGTTTGGATTAATTCTGCATTTCAACACCAAAGCTCTTAAAAATTTTCTTTAAACTATTTCATTTGTGCATATGAAGATGAACATGTGAGCAGAGAAAAAAATTCATCCATTTGCTTCCCCTGTATCTGGAGCCATCTCCCTGCTGAATTACAGGCAACACAGCTTAATCAAATCACAGATCACCCTTTGGGATCAATACTTCCAATTGACACAAGAGTCTTGCAGGAGGAAAAAAGTCTGGAGTTTCTTAGTATGGTTTTCATTGTTACAGTGAAAACATTAAGAAAAACACATTAAACTTATGAAGAAAAATTTCTATTAATACATACAATTTAAATGTTTTAATAATACTTAAATTAAAAGTATTAAATTAGTTAATTAATTAAGTATTAAAAATAATACTTAAAACAATATGTTTTCATGGGGGACTTGCTTGAAAGAAAGCTTTGTTCTTAGCAGGGAAAAGGGTTATTAAAAAAACATTATAGGCTCCCATGAAGATGGCTTGCTATAATCTGACTAGCTAGCAGATACCAGAATTCAGAAAGGGGAAAGAGAAAAGAAAGACACTACCTCTGAACTTTTCTCTTTAACTTTTCCCCTTTGTGCATTTTGCATTTGTTCATGACACTGTTCCATAAGTAAGGCTGATAGCACATAAAGCTTTTTAACTCGCAAAGGCTTTGTCCTTTTCTTTGACTCTTCATCTGCAATCTTAAAAAAAAAACAAAGGGATTTAATTCTCTTGGACAATTGCATGATTGTACAAACCTAGGAAATCGTGCCAAAAATTATTCTGCCTTTAAATGTAATAATTTAGACTGAAAACAGAACTATAAATGAAAATGTCAAAGTGAAGTATGCACATTATTCTGTATTTATTTAGCTAACATGTATATAAAGCCAGATTCTCAGGAAGGATAAATCAGTGTA